CCCCAAAACCCCAAAACCCCAAAACCCCAAAACCCCAAGTTGCTTATTATAAGTTGAAATCTTTTTAATAAAATAAATTAGTGGGCAAATTGCTTTTACTATGGAACACATACCAGCTTCAGAAAATTTAGACAACCCTAATTACATTGAACAAAGTGAAAAATATGAAGAGGAGAGAAAATTCGAATCAAATGACCAGCCTCTAACCCAAAACTCAAAGCTCTTAACCCCCAAATCTCATCCACCTACAAAATTCAACCTTGCTCTCAAACTTCAGACCCTAAAATAAACACCAATACACAATCACCCAGATCCAAAAATTCCTAAAATCATTCGGATACCCAGAATACATTGAAGACTTCATCCAACTAGCCCAAATAGAACAAGTCCTGCACATTCTTCGCCAAGAACTTCTACCCTTATCTCCTTCTTTCTGCCTATCTGCTTCCTTACCATTTAATCAGATTTATGCATCTACTTGTTTTACCTTGGAAAAATTGTGCAAAAGATTTGATAAAATTTGGAAAACTTATCCTCATGAAAGAGAAGAGGTTCTTAACGCGACAGGTGAGTTGATGGATGATTTTGTAATTTTTATAACTGAATAATGACTAAGGTTATATAGAAGCTGAGGGGCTAGCTTTACAAAAATAATAGCATGATCAATCCAACACAACTTATTAAGCTTGATTTGGCTAGAGTTTTTGAAGAAGAGATGCTTCAAGACGAGGAAGACATTGATATCAAGATTTGGAATGATGGGTATGTTAATAATGCCTCATCAAGCTCATTAAACTCATCAGAACTCTCTTCAGAAGCAGATCTTGACCTAAGCTGTGCTAATCATTCCTTGAGAGCTCTTCTAAAGAAAATGGGTAGTTTAAGAATTCCTACTGTGAAAAAGGTCTCTATTGAGCTTAAAAAGAACCACATGCAACCTTTCAGAGTAGGAGTTAAGAAGGAAATTAGAGTCAAAGGAATAGATCTTGCAGTCAGAAGTATTAATACCTATGCAGCCTTGGAGACATTGGAAATTTCTGGATTTTCTTTTGGTGTAGGTGTGCCTGAGAGGCATTTTATGAGGATTTTCTTCTGAAATCAGTATTTGGAAAACCTCTCCTTCTTTGGCTGCACTTTAACCTTCAATTCCCCTCTGAATTTCAAGAACTACCTTCCCCATTGTTGTCTGAAATCGTTGGTTCTGCCTCACTGAATATCTCAGAGTGCTTATGACAATGAGCAAAGATCTGTGCACAAAGTATTAAAAGGACTTTCAAGGTCCGAAGAGCTATTGAAAAGTCTCAGAAGAATATCAATCCGTGGAACTCATCTGAATGATGACATCCTCAGATTCAAACTCGAGGATTATGGTTTTGATGTTGTCCTCTGTTGTTAAACCTTTATTTCAATACCCAATATCTATTTGGGGTTTTGGGGTTTTGGGGTTTTGGGGTTTTGGGG